AAAGGAGCAACATGGGAAGCATAATTGCGTGGTCATGCTTATGTGGCAAAAGAATGAGAAGATTCACAGAAGATTGAATTTTTTTCATAATGAAAAGAACTCCTTAATAATCTGAAAAAGGGGATTCATGGAAGTGAAAAGAGAGACTATTCAAGGAGGGGTAAATGTGTCACGAGAAAGGCAAAAGTCACCAATAAGCTGCAGCTAGCTGGAGTGGGGGGAGGGAAAGACGAGACAACAGTTCCCAGCAGGCTTGACATTGTGTGCGAATTAGGGACTGATTTATCACAACTCTGGTAAGTCAGTCAAGCCAGCTTCATAACCCAAGGTTTGAAACTGGTTTGCTTTGCAACTGACCAGAGTTTGTGACAAACTAAGATCACGCCACTCACTGCAAGCGGAGACGAGGGGAAGTTAGCAATAATTCTGACAAAATCCTCCTTCTGGCTGTGAGGAAGTCAAGAGCCGGAGTTCTACTTGGGTTTCTTCCACCTTGTACACGTAGCACTAAACCATGTTTTAGCATTAGGTACAAACGCAGCCAGATTATACTTGCCAAAAGGCTCTTTTTTGTGTGTTTGCAGCAGCAGCAGACTAACACAGCTATCCCTGAGTTTACCAGAGCAGGAGATCTGAACATGGTCAAGTAAGGATAGGGACAGAGCGGATAAGGCTACAGCAGGATGGAAAAATACTGATGTCCGCATCCTGTGAAATAGGACCACAACAGTGACTAGAAAGTGCATCATAACCCACAGCAAGGAAGCATCTAATGAACTTGCCATATTGTTCCTGACCAGCTTGGGCCCCCAGGCTCCCTGAAACAGTGCCTTGTTCTGCTCAGACCAGCCCATTTACTGAAGTTGTTGTCACTCGGCAGAGGTACATCTGACCCCATGGAAGGCCTTGTCTGAGGTGCTGCCACATTGTGGAGCAACCTTCTACAGTGTGCAAATGTTTTGCAAGCTGGTAAAAACATACCTGTTCACACAAACATTCTCGGGCACTGATCCGCACTACCAGCTCTACTGAATTTTGGATAGCTGACTGTTTCCCCGATCGGTCTGTGAATGATTTTAAGCAAGCAAGCAAGCAAGCAAATGTTGGCCAGACGGAAGGAGAGAGCAATCAGTTTTTCTGTGATTTCACTCATGTGGAACTGGCATCTGGTGCAGAATTTGGATCCTCATAATTACCGTAGCAGCTTTCTAGTCCTCATGGCTCTGGAGAAACACTTGAGGATTCGCAGACTGTCTCCACTAAAGGTTGGAATTTTTTTGCACGAGTGGAATATTCTGGAGATGTGCTCTGCATCCTGCTCTCCACACCTCTGGTCCCCCTATGCAGGCATCCATCCTGGTTTGCCCCCCGTGCATGAGTCTCTTAGAACTCTAAAAGATTAATTTAGAATAAAGATGGCTCATGCAAAATAAGCAAACCTTCTTGACAATGGTGTGTGGTGAATTTTCTTTGCAGGGCTAGAATTAGGGCTAGTTGCCAGGTGAAACCTGCCAAGAGCAAGGAAGGGGGCTCAGCAGGAGCTTGGCAGGGCTCTAGCAAGGGCAGCCTGCACAGAGCACCCCTCGCCATGCCAAAAAAGGCTGGAGTCAGGCTGCCTCTACTCCTTGCCCTTGCCTCCTATAGCCCTGCTCAACACCTTCTTTCCCACACAGATGATATGCTGCCCACCCACCCAGCCTGCCCTCTCCCCTCCCCCCCCATACAGGCTCCTCACCTACCTTACTGCATGCACACGCATGGGAGAGGAGTGGGGTGAAATGCCCCCCCCCACTTCCCTAACCTCCAACATTTATCCATTGAAAATAGGGATTCCATATTCCAAAATAGTAATTTTACTATTTATTCCCCACCCATCTGACTAGATTGCCCCAGCTATTCTGGGGGGCTTCCAACATACATGAAAACATAATAAAACATTAAGAAAACTTCCCTATGCCGGGCTGCCTTCATGTGGCTCGGGGGTCGGATAACTCCAACATTTCTCTAATGAAAATAGGGACAACCTACCATACCCTCCAATATCTATCTGGAGATTAGTGACATCCTAAGGAAAAGCAGGGCATTCCAGGATCAAATTAGTAACTGGGATGACGTCTGTAAATCTGGGGGTGTCCCTGGGTCTGCAGTTCCCTCAGGAATATGTGTGGGCACCCTATTGCTGCTCCCCACTTCCTTCCTTCCTTCCCAACCTACCTTCCGGGTGCCTGACCGTTTGCTAGAGAGGCTGGGGGTGATGGGTGTGCGGAGAATTCAAACACCCTGCCCCATCACTCCTGGGAGAAGGAAGGCAGGAAAACCCAACACATTTGGAGCTCTTAAGTATGCCACGATCAATAGCAAGGAGATCTTTGGATAAATTTCTACTTTTGAAATGATTCACACATCTAGGGAAGGGGCCCTAAAATTACATGAGCAAGCGCCATTTCAGTCCAGGAGATATCAGAGTGCTTGTTACTGGATAAATGTTTGAGGAGCTGCACTTCGGGTAAAACATAAAATGTAACACAACAGATGTTGAAAAGTGATGGTCAATGTATCAGAGCTGCTTTGTCAAAGAAAGACCTCCTTTCAAAATGTTATTTAAAGCTACGCTCCTAAACACACTTTCTAGAGGCTAGATCTGGAAGAAAATTTAAGCCAAAAGAAAGGAGTGCTACTGTTTCTATTATTTGCATCAAAGTGGGCTATAATTTGAGGGGCCTGGTGTCTCCCTCATGCCAGTCCCTGCTTAGCTGAATTCTGACACTTTTGTCCTTCATGCAGCCAAATTAGAAGGAGGCTGTGAGCATTAAGAAAATGGCAGCAGGGAGGACAGGACAAGATGGAAAGAGGGAACAACCATCAAGCAGAAGAAGCTCTGAGAGTTCAGGCACGGGCCTCTTTCCATGGAATTAAGCCATGAAAATGCCCAAGGTCTGAACCCTCTCTCCCTTATTTAGACAGTTTAAAAACTCTTCTTTGAAGGCATCCGCAAAAACCACACTGCCATTCCCCTCCCCACCATCCAAGAAAAGCGGTGAGGCACGTGAAGCAGGGAAGGCTCCTCTTGAGTGGACTCGGGGAAAGGGCTTCCTTCCTTTGCCCTCTGAACATCCTGCACCATGCCCCTGCCAGGTCTCTCGCTCTGGGGTTTTTTGCTTCCTCACACCAGTCGAAATGCGGTCGTGTTTGTCTGTTTTGGGTGTTTGTTGTGTGTGGAGGCAAAGGACCTGCCCCTGGGAGCAGGCATGACCCCGACCACGCATGGGCACACAAGCACCAGAAGCTGCCTTGGCCACTGGCAGGGCTTTTTTCAGGCGGAACTCACTGGAACTTAGTTCTGGCCCCTCTCAGGTGGGCACCATTGCCATTATAAGAGAACACGGGAGGTGTTCATGGGGAGTTCCGGCACCTCTTTTTCTAGAAAAATAGCACTGGCTCTGGGAACATTTAGGGGACTAGCCTGCCCCCCTCCCGATCCACTGACCGCAACCTACTGATTCCTGAACTGTAACATATATTTTTGTGTGGCAGAAATGGAGCATTCCGGGTGAAACATGATGGCACTGAATGTGGAACAGCTTTGTGTCTGGATCTATAATAGGCAAAATAAGCAAGTGACCATTGCATCCCACAGCTTCTGTGCAGTGCGCCACTGGCCATGCATGCACAGAGAAAAGGGGGAAGCCAACGCACTAAATGAGGATCAACGTTGCATTTGTAGCCAAAACTCATAAATAAAGAAAATGCGAAGAAAGCACATAAGGTGGGGGGAGGGAGAGCCAAGAGTGAATTTATAGCGTGTGTAAGAAAGCTGAATGACCAAACTGGGAATAGCGCGGAAGAAATTCAGAATATCTGTGAAGCTTAACCCTCCATTGACTGGAAGAGAATCTGCACTGTGGCTGATTTGTACTTTCAGCATCTGAAGATGTGTGGTTAAATAGGACTTTTAAAATAAAACAATAATTACAGCCTGCTTTTTAGAGACGACACAATTTCAACAATGAGTTGGACAGCTTCACATTTTATAGTGCTACTGATCTCTTTTAAAATGGATAATCAGAAAATGAAAATGACCACTAAGCAGAAGAAGCTCTGAGAAAGCTGCGTGGTATTTTCATAGATCCAGAGGGGCTCCTGCCTTGCGCAGAAGGGCGACAACCAGGATGTGTTATTCTCTGTGGAAATGGCACGGTTGGTCTCTCGGCCACCTCTCAATTCTTCAGGGTCAACTCCCAAGGAAAGGGCTTTTAAATAGTGCTGTCCTGTTTTTACTATCTCTATTTTAATATATCTGCTTTTATATTGTTTAAATTCAATTACAGTTTAATTATTTTGACTGTTTTTTAATATGCTTTTCACATTCTGTATTTATCTGTGTAAGCCACTTTGAGTACTGGTCTTGGAAAAACGCCGGATGATAATAACAATAATGATAATAATAATGTTCTCCACCTACTATAATGGGTTGCCACTAAAACATAATTTGTTTTATATAGTGCTTTTTCCTAAGTGCTCAGAACGGTTCATATACCCCAGTCATCCCTAGAAAAACCCTCAATATTGTTATCCCCAAAGCAGAGTTGGGGACTGAGGCCACTCAGTGAGTTTACTGGTGAGATTTGGACAGGTGTCTTCTAAGTCCTGCTTGACGCTCTGACGGCATCGCTGGGCCTGCTTACTACAATATGCCAGCCCTGACCACTTTCACCATCACTAATGCATCTCTCTATCCAGCTTTTGGGCTACTATGTTGACTATTCCAAAAATGTTGGTCTAGGGTAATCGGCTTACCCTGACATGTCCAATGGCATGTTCAGCAGTGAAAAGTCATAAATACCTGAGTGCCAGAAGATACACAGCCTTCTGATTGGTTGGCACTCACCTACACTCTGCTTGCCCCATGTCTAGAAAGGTCAGGTCCGAGCAGTTCTCCACTTGTCCTGAGCTTTCTAGGCATGGGTCCCAGTGATTTTACCTTGGCCCCATCACTTCCCCCCAGAAAACCTGTCCCTTAGCTCTAAATCAGAACAAACAGCAATTCGTGGAAAACTCGGTTGCCAACTCGGTTGCTGTTTGTTCCAATTCAGTGCTAAACCACAGGTTTTCCATGGGGAAAGTGGTGGGGAAAGTGGAGGTGTGAATAAGCCCTTGCTGGTGCAGTTGATGCACGCCATGGTGAGAGGTGGTCTTCGCCACAGAGGCAACCTGGGTCTCCCTGGGCAAATATGGCTCCAAGAGCATCCCTAAGCTTTGCACCTTTTGTAAACTACTTTGAGGTTTTATACAATCAAGCAGTGAATAAAAATTTATGAAATAAATAAATGTCTGTTTCTTCAAAGGGAGGGCAACTCCACCCACAACAGGCAAACTCCCCAATTCTCATACCTGGCACCACTCACCCAGAGTGCCTCTGTCTTAGCAGGATTCAGTTTTAGTCTACTGGACCTCACGCATTCCACCAACTCAGTTTGTGCACGGTCTCTCCTGACTCAGATTTAACAGAGAAGTAGAGCAAGGTGTCATTAGCTTACAGTGATATCGTGCCCCCAAACCTCCTGATAACGGCTCCCAATAGCTTTGTTTAGATGTTAGCATTGGGGACAAAATAGTGCTTTGTGGCAGATAGGCGCAAAACTGCCATAAAACAGTGCCTCCAACTCTCAACCCAGGAAGAAGGTCCAAAAGGATGCCATGGTCAATGGTACCCAAGCAGCGGTGGAGGAAGCCTCTTGGGCACCTGGGGCGGCGTGCCAGGGGCGGGGCGAACCGACCATAGGGGCGGGGCACAGTGCCCATAGGGGCGGGGGAGGGGTGCAGCACCCATAGGGACAGAATGGGGCGCTCGGTGACCCGTGCCATCCCTATGGGCACAGCAGCGCGCCCCATCCCTATGGATGCCGCGCACCCCATGTCGTGCCATCCTGTCCCTATGGGCGCTGCTGTGCGCAGCAACGCCTCAGTAGGTGGGTGGGTGGGCGAGGGAGGGAGTGAGGGAGGGAGGGAGAGAAGGAGGGAGTGCCAAGCAGCTAAGCTGCCCCCAGCGCCCAGCCTTGGCATCAGGCCACTCCCCTTCCCCACACCCTGCCCCCCCGCCTACACCCCTCCCCCATCTTTTAATGTTGGAATTGGTGCTGCTGGTGAGTCCTGGCACTTGTTTTTCTAGGAAAAAAGGCACTGATCATGTGTATGATATCATTTCCCCTGCCCTAAACTATGAATCCAGGAGAAATAAGGTGCAGCTTATTAAAGTCAGTTATAAAACTCCCTGTTATTTCTGTGAGGCCAACATTTCACCTCTGACCTTAACAACAGAACAGCAGATCCGGGGCGATAAAAGCACAGGGTACTGAATGGCTGGCAGAGCGCCAATGGTCTAAGCAGACGACTTCAACCTCAGCTACTGTCTCAAGTTTAAAATCAAGTTAGCTTATCTGCACTAACTGGAATTATCTAATTTGAGTCAAGAACAAGCTCCTTATCTACTAATGCTTTATCCCTTTTCACTCCTGGTAAGGCTGAAAGAAAAGAGCTATTGGAAAACAAAACCAGTGGGTCAAGGAACCAGGTCTTGGGCAGGGGTCACGGCCAAGATATTGCCGGGGCTTAAACAGGTCACATATCATGCAGCATGACACGCGCTGCACTTCCCATTGGGGTTTCCACAGGGTCAGAGGGGGCTCTTTTCAGGTGGTGGTGTTAGATTTAAGGCATGCGCACGAAAGCTTATACCCAGAACAAACTTAGTTGGTCTCTAAGGTGCTTCTGCTCTCTCAGGCTCCTCTTTGGCCAGGTTCTTCCCCAGCAGCTTTGATCTTGTTCTTTATCTTGTCGAGGTAGCCCACCTTGCTATAGCTCAGGGCTGGAAAGATGGTTCCGACTGTGAAGCCTTCAGTCCAGGCAACAGCCTCCTTGGGCAAGGGTTGCTGTGATCACTAGGTCTGCGCTGTTTTGGTTTCTGGGAATAAAGAGTTCACTGACAGCAGGGGTTTTGTTGCTGACCTGCACTGGTCTCCGGCTCCTGACAATAGCACAGAACTGGAAAGGACTGGAACATCTGAATATATCTTGCTGGAAACAGTATGTGTGGACAACTGCTATATAGGGAAAATTAACAAAGTGACTACATGCATCAAACAATGCAGATTACTTTATTAAAATTTGGGATCCTCTTATAAAATATTCCATTGATAATGCTGAAGAATGGAGTCCACCAGAACCACAAACAGGACTTTGCCAAAACTTAATAGCCCAGTGGTTCCCAATTGGTGGTCTGTGGACCCTAGGGGGTCTGCATAACGCACCCAGGGGGTCTGTGGTCCCATTCACATAACAAAAACCACCACAGAGATATCGAAATTTTCAAAAAGTAGGGGATCCATGACTTGGCTTTTGAAAAAACAGGGGGTCTGTGGTACTGAGCTAATTGGGAACTACTGTAATAGGCTGTCCTGGGAGGGGGTAAGTTTGTAATTGTGCTTATCAGTAAAACTTCTTATGAAAAAGAAAAAGGACAGGTGGTTTTAACGTTACTGAGAAATTATAGCTTTTAAATATAGGAGGGAGGAACAGAGCTGGATCCGACTGGACTAAGGTACAAATCATGTTGCTAATCATATTTTCTATTCACAACCATCCACAGGCAAAAGGATAATATTATTTTGAGTTGCATCCACAACAGACCCATTGAAATCAGTGGACATTACTAAATTAGGTCCATTAATTTCAGCGTATCTACTCTGAGTAGAACATAGTTGGAAATATCCCATGTTTCCATTGTCTATGTTATAAGGGCTAGGGCTGGGTGATATCTACTTTTCAACATCACAATATGTCACCATTGTGATATAGTGAGATACCACAATGTATGAACTAAGGATGGAGCTGTGCAAAGGCATTGGCTGGCTTCATGGTTTTTCCTACATCATGATTTTTGCTTAGCCTCCCCCCCGCCCCGATTCGCCAGGTCAAAAATTATGAAACCGTTATCATAATATGGACTTCAAACTGCACCCCACTTCTCTCCCCCCCCCCCGTAAGAAAAGAAAAGAAAAGAAAAGAAAAAGGCCCTGCAAGGCACAGGGTTAGCAGAAGAGCCCAGACTGGGCGAATGAGAGGAACCAGGATGTGGGAGCAGCATCCCTAGGCACACTCACACGCAGCCTCCCAGCACAGCCCCCTGGGATCCCTAGGCAATGATGTTGTGCTCAGAGTTATGCAAATTATTTGCACTGGCATAAAGAATGTGCAACTGACGAGGAATAGCTTGTGAGGTTACTGGGCTAGGCTGTGTTACAGCTACGATCCTAAGTTCTTACATGTAATTGATGGGTTTGGCTTATATCTGTTGTGTTTAGGACACCTCAATCTGAATTCCCAACAACTGACACTTGCATCACTGAGCAAGTGTCATGAGACATGTTACCTCCAGGAAGACAGGCTGAAGCAAGTTTGGATTTACACATTTATCTGTGGTTACAGAATGGGCTACATATTTTTCTAAATAGATTGTAATATGTAACACCGTGCTCAGTTCTGCCATATGTAAGCCATAAAAGGTAAAGGTAAAGGTACCCCTGCCCGTACGGGCCAGTCGTGTCCGACTCTAGGGTTGTGCGCCCATCTCACTTAAGAGGCCAGGGGCCAGCGCCATCTGAAGACACTTCCGGGTCACGTGGCCAGCATGACGAAGCTGCTCTGGCGAGCCGGCACCAGCGCAGCACACGGAAACGCCGTTTACCTTCCCGCTATATTTATCTATTTATCTACTTGCACTTAAGGGTGCTTTCGAACTGCTAGGTGGGCAGGAGCTGGGACCGAAAGACGGAAGCTCACCCTGCCACGGGGATTCGAACCGCCGACCATGCGATCGGCAAGCCATAGACACTGAGGTTTTACCCACAGCGCCACCCGCGTCCCTCAATGTAAGCCATAGTGTTGGTCCAATACATTGTGCTGCCTGAAGTGGAGCACAAATGCTCCTCCCCCTGCCCCATCCCATGCTTTAAAAAGTCTTGCTGCACCATTTCTAGTCGTTGCCTTCATCAGCGGCCTCTGACCACGGAGGCCGATCACAGACATCATGGCTACAAGCCATGGGTAGACTTATGCGCCATGAATCTGTCCAATCCACTTCTAAAACTATCCAGGTTATCCCCCATTCCATGCTTTGCTATGTGAGCATAAGAACATAAGAAGAGCCTGAATCCGGATCAGGCGAATTTGCCCATCCAGTGCAGCACCCTGTTCTCACAGGCGCCCACCAGATGCCTCTTTTGGGAAACCAGCAAGCAGGGCCATAAAGCAGAACAAACGACAATCCACTGAAAACCCGGCTGCCGTTTTCTCCAATTCAGCACTACACTGCTGCTCCAGAGAAGCGGACACGGAGCAATGGATCCAAACTACAAGAAAGAAGATTCCACCTAAACATTAGGAAGAACTTCCTGACAGTAAGAGCTGTTCGACAGTGGAATTTGCTGCCAAGGAGTGTGGTGGAGTCTCCTTCTTTGGAGGTCTTTAAGCAGAGGCTTGACAACCATATGTCAGGAGTGCTCTGATGGTGTTGGCAGGAGGTTGGACTCGATGGCCCTTGTGGTCTCTTCCAACTCTATGATTCTATGATTCTATGAGTTTTCCTAGGGGAAAGCACTGAAACCAACAGATGCGTGGATGAGCCCCAAATCACAACAGCGTCCATGGCAAGCAAGAGCAAACATAAGGTGCCACTGGCACTGCCAGTATCCTGAGCAGCCCTGAAAGGTCCATATTCCTGCTCAACAATTAGATATATTGGAGTTTCTATATGAAAACCAATAACACAAGTCTAATCATGTCTGATCAGGATTAAGCATTTTAATCCAGCAGGGCTTACTTCCAGCTAAATGGGGTTAGGACTGAAGCCCAAGTTTTCGATTCACGGGAGACTCAGTACCTAACTTTTGAAGTAGCCTGTAGTCCCATCGTCGCTGCTTTTTCTACAGTAGGGTCAAATTTGTCTAGGAAGGAGTGCCCAAGGGTTCATCTTGATGTCAAATCCTTCATAGAGAAAGATATGCAGAGAAACGATCATGATGGAGTAAAAATCTGTGTGTATTTTGCTAGAAAGTTGTCTC